GGAGGATTAAGAAACTCAGGCTGAACCACCAAATGCCACACCTCACTGCACTTCCATAAGACTGAAGTCTATGGTGATTCTCTCACAGGTGAAACTCAGACTTGCCCTAATAAAGGAGGTAGCTCTCTCTCTTGGTTGTTCTCAGCCTGATAGAGTGCACTGCCCCCTATAGGCCTGAAGAAAGAAGGCAGAGAGTTCTGTTCCTTTGATGGGCACTTCCAGCTCCCACCACTCCAAGAGAGCTCTCTGTGGTTATGTATTAACCCCTTTGCTGTCCTGAGTTCAAAGGTACTAACTGCAGAAGGACAAGGTAGGGTGTGACAATAGGGAGGGAGGGAAATCACATTGAAATGGCAAGGGTAGGGTGGGTAAGGGTTCAGGTTTTGACCTAGAGTCACTTTGGGTTGAATTCCAGCTCTATTGTTTCTTCACTGTGAATTGTTGGGAAAATTCACTTAGCATCAGATTTTTCATCTCTTCAGTGAAGGCTCAGATATGGTCCTGAGGTTTAAGGAAGATATGATATGTGAAGAGAAGAGACTATTTGGTGAGCACTCAATTGGTGGTAGTTGTTATAAGTATGATCTGAAATAAAATAAAAAAGAAAAGAAACTAAGAAGATTTCTGTGACCAATAATTTGTCACTTCTCCACCAAATCTAAAGGTCAGCTAGAGGTCCAGAGCCTACACAACCCTTGAGACTGTGTGCCTACCTTGTTAGTTTTTATGACTCTTTGAAAATAGTTATGTTCATTTATAGCCAGTGTTTTTCCCCTTAAGTTATTTATGCTTTTTTGACACTGGGAATAAATTGTCAAGTTTTCATATTTTCTTAAAATACAAAACTGTTTTTTTAGTAATTTGTTTTTAAGTAAATGCATTTTGAGCTTATTTGAAAGAATGCTTTTATTATTGGGAAAGAAGACATAGCAGAGGTGGCTGATGAAAATATTCATTTTAAAATGTTATTTTATTTTACAAAGTCAAGAAATGAATTGATACATGAAGGACTAAAAGGTATCTTCTTTCCCTAAAGTATATTAACTTTCACCTTATTTCCGTCTATTAAGAAGTTTATGGGCTCAAAATGAGCATCTGATTTTGAAGAGTGAGAATTAATCTTAATTCTGTTTTAAGAATAAGTGATTTGAACATAGAATATAGGCAATCTCTAAAAATTTTAAAATAGTGTTTCTAACATGGCATAAATGAAAAGGAAGGATTCATAAGGAAATGAGAGAAGTGGAAATTCCTCTTGTTAGGACCACAATTAATATCATAAATAGAAATAATTGCACTCATATCTAAATTCTAGAACACTTTTAACTGTAAGAAGTAGAAAGTCAGACTCAAGTTGGCTTAAGCAACAAATTTAATGTCTTAATGTATTAGTTCACCCATCCTGAGAAGACTAGAGGAGAGTGAGGCTTTATGTTCATACACTTCAACTCAGTTTCTCTCTTTCAGCTTTGTGTCTTAGCCGTTCATATTCTTGGGCTCAGTAATATAGAAGAGAAGAGAGAGACTCTTTTTTTATTAACATGGAGACAAGTTTATTCTACCTCTCATTGGCATGATTTCAGCTACATCCTCATCCTAGAACTAATCTTGTGACCAAGGGGATATGACACCTTGCCCAGGTAGACCTGAGTCTGATGGCCACCCCTGAAGTTTAGGGTAGGTTTCCTGTCATAAATTACATGTGTGGATGCTGGAGAGGATGAGAGTTCTCCAAGAAATGAAATACAGTTATTGTCAAAGGAAGATGACTGGATTAATCAATGTCTAGTTTAAACTCTCCTATCTCTGATTATACATTACAAAGTTACCACCTCTTCCTCTGAGTACATAAATTATATGTGATCAGTGTGCTTAATAGCAGCTGTTTTCCTAATTCTTTGTACTATTCTTTAAATCTCACTCCACTGAATACCTGTCTTAGTCCATTTGGGCTGCTGTAACAAGGATAACTAGCTGAGTGGTTTATAAACAACAGGCATTTAGTTCTCATCATTCTTCAGGTTGAAAGTTCAAGATCAGGCTACCAGTATGGTCAAGGTCTGGTGAGGGCCATTTTCTGAGTTACAGGCCACCAACTTCTTGTATTTTCCCATGGTAGAGAGCAGTAAGATATTCTTTATGGTCTCTTTTATAAAGGCACTGTCTTAATCCATTTATAACAAAGTGAAAGAGACTAAGTTATATAGAAGAGAGGTTTATTTTGTCTCATAATTCTGGTCCTGGGCCTAAGGCAGTCTGAGCATTAAATGAGCACAGACAGACAGGGGGTGGTTAGAAATGTAGCCAAGTGCTTTTATAGCCAACCCACCTTCTAGCCAATCCATTAAACCATTAGTCCATTAATCCATTCATGATAGCAAAAAGCTCTCCTACCTCGTCTCACTTCTTAATATCTCATAATAGGCGTTGCATTTCAGTATGAGTTTTGAAGATAAGAAAGGATATTTAAATCATATCAGGCACTAATCACATTCATAAACTATTTTTCCTCCTAATCTAATCACCCCTAATCTTCTAATACCATCATCTTGAAGGGTAGAATTTCAATATATGGATTGTTCGGGACACAGACATTCAGATCATAGCAGTGCTATTGGTAGTGCCCCACTCTCATACCTTCTACTGGCCAGGACACCCATCCCTTAGCTGTTATGCATTCACTGCTAACATCCTAAAACTGCACTCCTTTTTTCTAGACTCCTCAGCTGATAGGAAGCCATTTTGGCCACAGGTTTTTGCCCCACACTCACACTTAGGGTCAAACAATAATTCCTTACACTGAGTACAAAAGCCTGATTTCCTAGTCTCAAGCCAATAGTAACTCTATGGTATGAGTCACACCCTGGAGATCCCTGTGTGATCAGTCAAGGCCACACAACAGCTGGGACAGCCGCCTCCCCTTCTCTCCTGCCCTGCTTCCCTCACCCTCTTCCTGAAAGACTCTCTTTATATGTCCTATGCACCCACATCTCTTTATCCCACTGTAGATCTAGGTAATTTGACCTAAGATTATTCAAATTGACACATTCATTTATCTCTAAGCTTTAAGATGTTTGAGAACAGGGACCATGGTCTTGTCCATCCATAGTTTTTAATATAACTTAAGTATTCATGTTTTTGTAATGCCTTTCCAACTGCCTTGAGATGGCGAGAGAGGACCAAACCATCTACTGAAATATTTCTCAAACTTTAATTTCATAAAGATCCCTTCAAGATGTTATCAAAATGGCTCAATAGACCTGAAATGAGGCTTGGGATCTGCATTTCTAAGAACTTTCCAGGTAGTGCCACTGTTGCATGTCCATCGACCACACTTTGAGTAGCAAGTTCCACCATCCACCAATTATTTTAAATCACCCACAGTATTTAGTACTATGCCTTGTATCCAGTAAGCACTCAAGAAATATTTGTTGTTGGATTTATGAACTCATTTAAAAACAAAGGAGTTTAAGGTATTTTGATTGAAAGAGAACTGATTTAAACAATATATTCCATATATAATTTCTGTCCTACATAAATGGCTCTCAGTAAAAGTTACTGAGGGAAGTGTCTTTTAAAAGTTTCTAGATAGTCTATAACAGAAGTATTTCCTGAACCTGATTTCTTTTGTTCTAGGACTCAGAGATAAGAGGTCAATTAGTAATAGGACAGTATTTCTCAGAAATGCCAACAGAAATTGGAAATGGCAATTTTGGGAAAAATTAGAATGTGATGTCTTAGCTAGTGTGGGAGAGCCAATGTTCACGCTAGGCTTTAGCTGCTGAGTTTAATCTTAAATTCAGTCATGCTTGAGCATTTGATTTATCCTCTTAGCAAAGATAATGGCTGAAGTCAGCTTCTGCCAGAATGTGCATTCTAGGTCACAGAGCTGTGGGTAGCTTGGTCCCAGTGCTCAAGGATCAGACATCCTTCTGACATCTACTATGAATTATAGAGGAATGCCAGTCAATATGTCATTCTGGAATCCTACAGTAACTGATTGTTCTCATTGAAGATCAAGAGTTCTTTGGTTTTAGTACCAGATCTTTCTTTTGGAATAAAAAATTTCTCTTTATTATACTTCTTTCTGAGAGGAAGTATATAAGCCTGACAAATCCTAATTCCATACCCTGGAAGTATATAAAGTAATAAATTCTATTTAGTATAAACATGTGGTTCTTAAATTGGGGGCAGAGCTCAGGTACTTCCATTCCTAATAAAACAGTACAGGGGGTTCTAATCACAAGGTTGATCACTTTTGGTACAAAGTGTAAATTCTCAAACTTTTATATATATATATATAACTTTTATATATATATTATATATATATATACACACACACACACACATCTCTGGGTGTAGGACTAAGGGTTGGTATTTTTTTAAGTAGTTGACTTCAGTGTACAACTAAGGCTGGGCACCACTGGTGTAGAGCAATATAAAATCAATATTTCCCTTATTTTTTAGAATAAGGCCCTTGAAGGAACATATAATGGTAAAGAACACTAGCTTTGTGATAGGCATATATAGGTTTAAATATTGACTGGCCATCCAATAACTGGGAGGTTGAATGGATTTTAAATAATGGACTTTGCTGTAATCCTTAATATCCTCACATATAAAATGAGTGTTGTAGCAATAGTATCTTCCTCAAAGCAATGGGGTTATGATTTAAAGCTTTTGGCTCAATAGGTGGTACATAGTAAATGTTCACTAGATGTACATATATGGATTTTATAGTGTCATTTTTGTCATTAGGATAGCTATTTATGAAGAATTCTACTAAAAACATCCCCTTGCCACAGAGAGCACTTCTTCCAACTAAATGCTTATGCATGTTCTTTATTTTAGAAGTCCCATATTGTGGGCGTGACATGGATTTGGATTAGTTATTCAACATTGGTTTCCTTATACACAAATGGTGCATTTAGCCTTACGAAACATTTGTCTTGTTGTTAATATGTTTCTTGATCATACATTTTAAGGGCATGAAGGGTAAAGGCTGAACATTTTGAAGTTTCAGTGTACCTGAAAAGCAAGAAGAGAGAGAGAGACTGGTTTTAACAGAGACTACTTCAACCCTTCACCTTTTCCGGAATCGATAATGTTCACTTGTTCCCACTAAGAAGAGGGATGGCCTTTGCCACCTCTTGAACTCAGGCTGCCTTATGACTTGGTTTGGCCAGTAGAATATGAGAGAAGTGGTGGAGAGCAAGTTGTGAACCTGAACCTCCAGGGCCCACATGCACTTCTATTCTCTTTTGCTCTACTGTCTTTTTCATGAACAAAGGACAGGCCAGGATGCTAGAGTATGAGACATGGGGTCAGAGTCAAGGCCATCAACTGTCCCAAATAGGCTGAAACACATGAGAAAATTCAGTTCTCCTGGCTGACTCAGTTCACAATAATTGCATGAATAGTGAACTTGAAACAACAAAATCATTTTCTCCAGCTATAGAATTATGCATAATAATAAATGGTTATTTTAAGCCATTAAATTTGGGTATAGTTTGTTATCCAGCACTACTTAACTGACATAAAAGATTGAATGGAAAAAATGTTTTTAAAAAGTGAAGATAATGAGAACAAGTGATAAATAATAGGATCAACATTTTACTGCCATCTTAAAAGTTGTTTAGAGTTGGTCATCTGAGCACATTACACATAAAATAAAGTGAACCAACATTTATTTATAATCGCAAAAATAAGTTATAGATCATGGAACTTTGGAATCAGAATTTGCTGATCATTTATTTGAATAATAGAATAAGTTTTTGTTTTTACTTATTTTTATTTTAATCAGCAGTATGTAAACAAACAGGAGATGCCTCCAAAAAAGGGAAGACCTTGTGGTAGATTGTTTTCTAGACAAGACTCAGGTGACATTTCTTATGTGCGGGTTACAGACAAGGCTAAAGCAATAATAGATTTGTGCCAGTTTCCCATTGTAGGCTTATAAGGTTTAACAGAAACTAAGAGTTATTTACTGTTATGGCTTGTATCTGGATGTCCCCCAAAGCCTCATGCACTCATAGATGGGGCTTTTGGGGGGTTGCTGAATCATGGGTGTGTGATACTGGAATTAAGGGTGTGTCATATCTAATTTGGTTTAGCATAGATCTGAGTGTGGATAATGGAAGCCCCACACTGGGTGTGGATAGCACCACCCCAAAAGCTTAGATGAGATAAAGGGGAAATGGAGGCTTGCTGCTGCTGTTGATTGCTGCTTGCTGGATACTGCCTGCCTTGCCATGGACTGTTTCCCCTCTGTGATGCCCTCTGCCATGCCACCCTGCTTTGGAGCCAGTTGACTAGGAACTGAAACCTCTACAGTGTGAGCTGAAATAAACATTTCCTCCTTTACCTTTGGGTATTGAGTATTTTGTCTTAGCAACAAGAAAAGTAACTAAAACAGTTTTTGGTACCAGGAGTGGAGTCATTACCATGACTGAATCTGACCATGTGGCTCAGGAGCCTTTGGAACTGGCTTTTGGGCAGAGTTTGGAAAGGTTGGGAGATGCTAGATGAAGAAGTAGCCCTGGAATACTATAAGCTGAACTTGATGGGAGAATCTACTCAAACTCAGAAAATCAGAATTCTGATAGAAGTGCATCTGGTAAAAACCAAGCTCAGGAAGTTTCAGTTAGGAACAAGGACTGCATTGGCTGTTGGACTCTAGACCATGTATGTTATTCTTTGGCAGAAAATTTGTCTGCATTTTTCTTGTGTCAGAGACTTTGCCTGAGACTGAGATTAAGGGTGGTGAACTAATTAATTTTGTGGAAGAAATTTTAAGGCAGTCTAATTTTGGGGCAGTAGCGTGTCTACTGTTGGGAGCTTTAAGCCAGATTCACGTTGAAATTCAAGTACAAATAGCCCAGTAGAATAATTTTAAAAGTTATGAATTTTGCCAGAAAGAAGTTTTCAGTAAACTTGTTGCCTGCAAAGATGGAACAGAGGAGAATATGATTGCTGAAAAGGTTAGCAATAGAAAACCAAGAATATCAGAAGAGGACAATGGAAAGAATGGCCTGAAGGTATCACAAGAACCAGTAGAACTCCACACTTTGCAGCCTCAAAATTGGAAAGGTGAAAGACTTTGCTTTGAAAAGCAAAGCTGAGGACCATGTTCCAGAATTGTGGTGGCCTAAGGAAGTTGTTCCTCAGGATTTGGTTCATAGTGCTCATCAGCCCAGGCTCTTGCTCCCTATAGCCAAGGGAGAAGAAAGCTTGGCTATTGCTTCAGCTGGCAGCAGACTTCATCATCATCCATATGGTGCTGGTTTTAGATGCATGCAGAATGCAAGAGTTGTGGGACCACCCAGATTTCAGAAGAAAACCTGGCAGGCCAGGCAGTATGCTTCTTGAGAGAACAGTGTGTGAATGAAGTGTGTGAGTATGAAGCCAAAGAGGCTATGAAGACCCAAGAAGATTAGAGAAGCCAGGAACATAGATTGTCTGAGGAAAGCTGCAAGGAGTGAGCAAAGTCAGCTCAAGAGAATCTATGAGAGCTACAATTATCCACAATGCCACCGAGGAAGAGCCACCCAAGCCCTTTGGAGTTCACAACTTGCCACAGGCTGCCACAGATGCTGGACATGAATATATGGGATTTAGTATTTGCCCTGATGGATTTGATCTTGCTTTGTTTCCATTCCTTTTTATCCCCCCTATTTGTACCTTTCTGAATGGATATATTTATCTTGTGCCATTGTATGCTGGAAATGTTTAACTTTCTTTTCTTTTGTACAGCAACTATTAGCCAAGAGTTTGCCTTAATTCTCAGAGGAGACTTTTGACTTGGACTTTTCAGTAATGCTGAAACTTCCAGGATTTTGGCAACTCTTAGAGATGGACTAAGTGCTTTTTGCACAAAAAGATGTGCATAAGTCTTTTGGGAGCCAGGGGAAGAATATAATGGCTTATATCTAGATGTCCCCCTGAAGCTCAAAGGTGGAGCTTTTTGGAGATAGCTGGATCCTGGGTGTGTGATACTGGAATTAAAGTGTGTGATAACTAAATTGGCTTAGCATAGATCTGGGTGTGGACAATGGAGGCCTCACCCTGAGCATGGAAGGCACTACCCAAAAGGCTTGTAGCCTGAATGAGATGAAAGGGAAAGGGAAGCTTGCTGCTTGCTGCCTCCTTCCTGCTTTGCCATGGACTATTTCTTCTCTGTGATGTCCCTCTGCCATGCTGCCCTCCTTTGAGACCAGGTGACTACAGACTGAAACCTCTACAAAGTGTAAGCTGAAATAAACCTTTCCTCTTTTACTTTTGGGTGTTGGGTACTTTGTCTCAACAACAAGAACAGTAACTAAAATACTGGCCTAACTATAAAGTCATTCCAAGTAGTGGGGATTGAGTTCAGGGGGCAGCCAAGAAACTACTAATTTTCATTTTAAAGAAAATGTCTCCCAAGAACATGAACACCTAACATTTATCTTCACAGAGCCATTGGCAAACCACAAAGAAAAGAGCTTTGAGGTCAGCAGCCAGTGGCAGTAGGCGCTTATCATTGCTGACATCCCAGATGTGCTGATCCACCCCTCAGTGGAGGTAATAAGAAACACCAACATCCATCTTTCTGGACACATTTGTCCTTTTGTAAATGTGCTGTTCAAGTCCATAAGATTCAAATGCCTAAGAATGCCAGATCTAATTATTCCATAAAAAATTAGGTAGATACATAATTTTTAAAAAGTACTCAGATAAATTTGGCAATCTTATTGAGGGTAATTCCATGCACAAATGTTCCATTTTCTGTGTCATTTGATTTAGATAATTTATGAATCTATAATGTGGAAGGAAGGGACAAGGTGGCTATGAAATAGAATTGCTCCTTAGATTAGTTTGATAACAATGACTATAACATGGGTATCATAACCCCAGGCATCATTGTTTACTTAACAGGTGATTAATAGGTTAACATGGATTTTATTGAGAATCTTCTGTATGTAATGAGACTCAGTAGGCTGGGTCAGGGTGATTAATAAAAATTTCCTGTCTTTAGAACAAGGTAAAATTAAAAGAGAAGTCAAACAAAGTAAAAATGATTAAAGATAATTTACAAAAATCCTATTAGCAGAAACCAAGGACAGAAACCTGGACTGAAAGGGTCAGAATTAGTGGAATGGCTACTAGGACACTGAAACTGCTCTTGGAGAATGACTATGAATTTTCAACTTCTAAGAAAATGGGGGACCTTCTGGGAAAAAAGTACAAAAAATTATGAACAATGAGATGGGCTTCATGTGTTTGGAGAAATGGTAATTTCTTTAGTAGAGCTGAGGGTCATTCTCCCAGGGAAAAGTAGAAGGAACTGGAGCTGGAGGTTTGGGTGACATGGTGGATGACCTGAGGTGTTATGATAAAGATGTTATGCTGGAAGCAGTTTAGAGCCAAAGGATGTGTGAGAGTGATGAAAAGTAAAAGAGAGAAAACAAAAAGTCAAGCAAGTGTGAGTTCCAGAATAGCCTGAGCCTTCGCTTTATTTGCAGGATGAGCTCTGAAGCATAAATTGCAATTCACTCTATACTCCTAACCCTCACTGAGCTGTTGGGTGAAGCCATATTGGAAGAGATGTAAACTCTGCTACTCTTTTGACTCTCTTTGTAGCTGAGGCTCTTCCTATGCCCAGGGACAACTCTCTGAAGATAAAATATATGAGTTTTAGTGGCAAAAACACAGAACTTGGCCAAAGCTGGCATACAGGTTGTTCAAAAAAATGATTCCAGAGGAGCTGCAAAAGGGTCAACTGTATCTATGATGCAATGATAGTGGAAAAAGTGAGACAAAGAACAATAATTTCCAAACTCCATTTGCGGGCATATTTAGTTATGTAAAGATTCTATAAATATTAGCAATTGGGATGGTGGTTGTAAGTTCGAAAATTCCGGGATAACCAAAATTAAAGACCTTGTTTGCTGCAGAAATTCTCAGATTCCTTGAGTTCCTGAGAGGCAAAGACAAGATAGAACATTTTCAAGCTTATTAACCAGAGCACGAGTTGGAAAATGGTTGATTTGAAAGATATTAGGAGTTTGCATTGACAGAACTAAGGGGATGAACTAAGGCCAGTGGCAAAGTTGGTGTCTTTGCAAAATGCCTAGTGTCTTAGAACTCTATTGAAAACACAGCCTGTGTTAAGAAAGGATTTTTATTTTTTGGATTCCAGGCATACCAATATTTGGCTTCTTGATTCCAGATCAGTCCAGCTGCCTCTTCTTCATCCTGCACTGTATACTACTAGTCAAGAGAAGTGCAGAAGAAAGGAGACCCTTCTGACCATTTCCAAATTCTGGATTCCAGACAGTCCCTCTCTAGTTGCAATGACCCTCTCCTACTTCCCTACCAAAAAGGTTGCTGTTATAGCAGGATGAGTTTAAGAAATAGAAGCAAAATAAATGAACAAATAAGCACAAAATAAACTTCATCTACCGTTTCATATTGTAAAATTAATTGACTCCTAACAGCAAAGTTATGGGCAGAGGGATAAGACTAAATTGCACTATGGTGATACAAGGTGGAAATAGTTAATAAATTGTTAAAACAATAAGGAGAAATAATTTCTTGGAATGTGGGAGTCAAAGCCTGTAAGAATGTAACATATAGTAGGAGTTTCTAGAAAATGGATACCATGAATGTATCTCTAGCCACCAGCCATGGAATGAGCCTTTGCCTTATTGCCTTCTGTGTTAGATTAAGTTGCAAATATATTTGGAAACCCAGTGGAATTATTTTTAAGTTTTTTTGCAATGTTCTTTCATAGGGGAAATAACGTAGAATTGAATATTCCTACAACACAAATGGTTCAACTCCCAAGGCCACCAGCTTAGCAAAACAATCTCTGCTGGGACTGATTTTTCTGCCTGGGGTGTAGTTCAACAGAATTATTTTTAAACAGAAAAACTTCCAATTCAAAAGTCACTGTTTAAATGAATAAGTAGATAGTTGAGGATTCATTGATATGCACTTTGATATGACAGGAAATGGAATTGGGTTTGAGAAGACATCTCTCTGGTAGGAGAAGAATTGTTTTGAAGAATAGATTTCAGTAAGGAGAAAAATCCTCAGGAAAAATAATCTCATCTTCTGAGAGCAAATGTACAGGGAATCGTCTTAGTTTTGTAAACTGCTTGTCTTTACTTTTTTTCTTGACAGATACAGATAAAGATAGACTGCTTTGAAGGATGACTTATAATTTAGGGGTTTAGAACCCTTAACATTTGACCCAACTTTGAAATTCTACAATATTTTTCCTTCACTTAGAACACATTATTCTCAAAATGTAACATGTTCTCCATTTATGAAAAGTAATACTTGAAACCACTCTATCAGTTAGGTTTAATCAGAGAAGCAGAGTCACTGGGGTTATATATATTCACATTTATATGGATTTGTTACAGGGATTTGACCTATAGAGCTCATGTGCAGTCTCTGTTAAATCTGTTTTTTTTGCATCTAATCTGGAGCTGGAGTCTTCAGGACAGACACGTGCAAAATTCAGGCAGGTGCAGAACTGGAGTTCTTTGCCATGTGCTGAGTTCATGACTGGCCCAGGAATTAGAGAAGATGGTGAATGATCCTGTGGAAAGTGGAACAATTGCAGAACCAGCTGCTGTCCCAAGGCATCCTGAACCAAGAGGTAAATGACAAGGTGAGTATCAAAAGCATTTTCCTCAATCTTCCAAGAGTAAAAGTAAGGAGGAAGAGCCTTACCACTCCTTTCCAACTCTGCAGAAATATGTTGGGTGGACCATCCTAACCAGAAACAGAGGAAGTGAGTTCCTAACCATGCTGCAGTATCACAGAACCATCTCATTGACATGTATGAAAGCACACTCTTAGCCCAATGTATACTGTGCACCAGAACCCAAGAGATTGGATGATGAGAGGCAGTGGTTCCAGAGACCTCAGGCACTTGGTGTGGCCAAACCCAAGATCAAGCTCACAGATTCATGAGGGCATCAATATTACACAACTGTTACAAAGATCCATTTTGTTTTTTCTTCCTCATAACTGCTTCTCTAATTTTGTCTCCAAAACCAAGGAATAAAATATATACCTCTAACTATGGTCAAACACACACACACACACACACACAAAAACACACACACAGTAAATCAATATGATGATGTGAAAGGCAGATAGATATATTTAAGTTGTCTGAGACATAGCAGCAGTTTTTTTTTTTTTAAGAAACATTTCCAAAAATTTCAGTTTTCCTCTAGAGGTTTAGGATCATAGAAAGTCCTAGTTTCCTTTCCTGGTAAAATGTTTGTAACATATTTTCCAGTATTGTCTCAAAGTAATGGACTATGTGAGAGAAACAAGATCTTCAAAGGGAAGAACTGCTGAATTAGAGGTTTTCTTGTTGTTTGTTTGTTGGTTGGCTGGTTGTTTTGTAACACAACCCATTTATAACCAAATCTCTTTGCCAGGCAGTATAATTCATTGGTGTACAATACAGAATAAACCTGGGGTGTTTGTAGCATGAAGACACAAAAGCCAAATTAGAAATTAAGAATCCTTTGTAGAACAAGAAGAATACATATAGATCACCCAGTCATGGTACAGAATTTCAGGCATTTGCAAATATTTCATAAAATGATTGTGTGTATTATACACGTGTGTATGTTTTGTTAGTGTTGTTAGTGTCCCTTGATGTGAGAATGAGTGAAATAATTTTCTGAGAGGGGATGGGGGCCAGGGAGAGCCCTGAACTTGGTTTGAAAGTGACCAAGACCTTGAAAATACAAAAGAAGGAACTGGTAGGGGTACATTATGGTGGGATTAAAGAAAAGAGAATAACAAGGGATAGTCTGAATTAGGAAACTAATAGGAATCTAGGCTGATTGACAAATCTGAGTTAGGGTGACATTTGTATTGTCAGGAATGATTTGAAGAAAATATTAGATGACTACATGAGCTAGCTAACAAGAAAGAAGTTCCAGAAAACTAGGGACCGAAGAAGTAGGGCTAAAATTCAGCTAATGAAGAAATAAAGGATCTATTTAAGGATGCTTCTTGGAAACAGAAAAGTAAGAATCTATAGTGTTAAGCAGAAGAAACTGGCCCTCAACCCACTGAAAAGTAACATAAATCCCCTCCAGTATTTGCAAAACAGGCATGAGGCCTCATTGGCCATTCCAGAAAGCCTTTTCTATCTTTGAGGAAGCACTAGGATAAAAGGCTATCCTTAAGGGATGGATTCTAATTCTCCCATAATAATATACTATATGAAAGAAGCAAGATCTTCATCTTTCTTCTTATTAAAGGTAAAATCTAGTTGAACACAACATATTTATTTTCCCAATGTGTCCATGCCTATGTCCATGATTGAGCCTCCATTATATCGTCCATCTCACTTGCTCTCTTCCTGTTTAGCACTGATACTCTTCTCTCAAGAGGTGGAACCCAGGTTCTCCCCACTTTATGGTGGGTGTGGTAAAGGAATAGAATTGATGCTGTAGAAATTCTGAGTCAAAGACATGAAGGGAATGTAAAGCAATCAAGGTGTTAGGTAAGAAGTCCAGCTGCTTGAGGCTCCCAGACTGGAAGGACCCTGTGAGGAGACAGCATATTTGGAAAAAGATACACCAAGAGTTCCAGCTGTTCTGGTGCAGAGGTCAGACATGTGCAATGAGTTTGGATGATTCTAGCTCCCAGCCTTGGGCTGTCCCAGTTATTCCCCCTGCAGCCAGGCCTCCAGCCTCTTAGTCCAGGGCCCAGACAGACTCCCTGAGCAGACTGAGCTGTTCTCAGAGATCTCTGTCAAAATTCCTTAATCATAGACTCCATGAAAAAATGCTGAAATTTTGTTTTATACTATTCAGGTTTGATAATTATTTATTATACAAACTTTAAGGAATTTTGGGCTACAGGGTGAATATAGGCTGCTAAAAATGGACACATATGTCCAACAAAAGTAGGAGTGATGTACAATAGTATTAATAGTAGGATAGTATTTGTGGTAGTATTTTCAGGGGTAGCAGCAATGACAGTAGTAAAAGTAGTAGATTTTGTGCTAATAAGTAGTTAACAAATATAATTTATGTCTTAAATCTACTCTTTCACTTAATCTTTCAAAAATGAGTGTCCTGATTTTGTTAAACCCAACTTACTGAAGAAAAACTGGAAGTGTAAAAAGTGGAAGTACTTGTCAAGGTGTCTGTAAGCAGGGGAACTGGGATATAAGACACTAGGTGATATGGCTTCAGAGTCTACACACTTAACCACCGGAGCACCTGCATAAAGATTTGGAGGTAGTATTATAGATAGGGCCAGGACAAAGGTGAAACAAATCACAGCTCCACATCAGCTGAAAACCAGGCCTCAAGATGGAGACAAGATGACCAGACCCACATACTTCTTCAAAGAACTGGGCTTAGTGAAGTATAGATAGGCATTGACCACCCTGGGGGTGACCAGAGACCTCTGGACCCACCACCTCCTAGGAAAATCCTTGTTCTTTCCATTCACACTTGCTTCCCAGTTGGACGACAATTACCTAAGTGACTATACTTGTAACCTTATTGGATGTTCATGGCTGTGGCCCAAGTTGTGCCCAGGTGGATTTCACCCTATAAAACTTCTTTGTAAAGTGGGGTCCTTGGGCTACCCACTCGGGACCCCTCCTGCCCCTCAGGAGCTTTCCTATCAATAAATATCTTCCTACTTTTAACCTCCGTCATTCCTAGGACTTATTCTTCGATTACTAGAGAACAAGAACTGGGTGTGTCATACAGTTAACAGGTTGGGAGATATAATATTTCATATTTCATATTCCCTGTGACAGTAGTAGAAATCTTAAGAATTCTTACTAGACATAATAGCATTTGGTTACAATCCACAGAGAATTTCTGCCAACCACCATGCTAAGGCAGTGTAGTGTGGCTGGCTGGCTTGGTGTTTAAATGAGCCCAGTGGCCTGAAATCATCTACTTTTAGGGGCCAAAGAGGACAAGTTCAAAATTTAGTTTTGCTCACTCATGAATTTGGAACTGACTGTGGAATAGAGTTCATAAGAAGGTCATCACAACCCTGATAACCAGAGGAGTGGACAGGAGTATAATAAAAATAGTAGTGTAGATTACAAATTAAGCACAAATGCTCCAAATCACAGGTGATCTGTGTGGCCTGAAAGCAGTCATTCATGAATGTCCTTTTATTTTAAGCGACATTCTCAATAATGTAGAATAGCACTGGAAGAGAATCCAATAAAGTTTCAGCCTGCAGGCCTACTTTAAAATTATTATTATTAATATCCAATGATTCAATATTCACTGTGAGTCACTCATAATAATTTTCAGGAGCAGAATAAAATTAAGTTCTTTTTCTCATTTACTAGTGCAGCCTTCCTAAATTAAAGCAGATGCAAATGTGTGGCTTGCCCACACACATTCTGATTCTGCTATCAGATATTTATCTGACAAATCAAAGCTTCCTCAGGAACTGGCATTTACTGCAAGATGAAATCTGGGAAGATGGAATAAGAGATTATTTTTTTCTCTATAGCCTATACAGGTTATTTTTAACTTTCCTCTACTGTGCTATCTCTTCTCCAACATCACCTGTTTGGTCTCTGCAGTGCAATTTGGATTTTGATTAAATTACGAACTTCTACCTAGCAAGTGCTGTCCTGAAGAAACTATTTTATACAGCCTTCAAACAGAAACCTTATATAGAAAAAGACATATAGGGGGAAGTAGTATGACTATGTGGTAGGCACAGTGGCTCCCACATCTCTGCTCTTCTTCATCCTTGAAACTTAAGGTCAGTTATTCCCCAGATTAAATATATACACAAATCTAGCAATGAAACTTGATTGGTTGGTTCCAATACTAGTGACCCTTCATCTTGTTTCTGTCATCCTCTGAAACTACCATCTTAAGAGGGAGTCTAGGAAAGTTTCCACTCCTAGATCAAAAGGCAGCCATTTAGCCAAGTCTATCCTTGTTTCATATGTGGTATGCTGAGAAAAGGATGAACTACTGCTGCCATCATCCAACCACGTGCAGAAAGTCAACGAAGTGAGAGAGATGGGTTGGGAGATCATTGAAAGTTAAAAAGAGCCTTCATTCTGGATAGGATCACTGAATGACTGAATCTCCACTAGATCACTTGCCTCCAGACATCTTGCTTTCCATTTCCTGACTTCTTGTTTTAAGCCAGTGTTAGTTAAGTCTAATATTATTTTGGCCAACTGCATTCTAAATTGTATAATGTTACTCTGAGTACAGAAATAAAGACTTTCAATAAGAGTAATATGTAAGAAACCTGAATAAGAGTTATATCTCAAGGCTGTACCACCCCCTAATGTGCACCCAAAACCTACTGTAGCTCTTATTACAGTACCTTCTTCACTCCTGGGGCAATCACATATATTATCAGTTAATCAAAATAACTTTAGTGTATAGAATTTTACTCAGGATATAATTAATAAAGCCCATGAGTCTTAGCATATTTTGTGGGGACAGTTGTATTGCTAGATGGTGGAAAATGTGGCAGGATAAGGGATCTCAAAATCATTAATGAACATCTGGGAGAGAGAGGAATATAATACAGTAATCAAGATAGTAGAAAAGAGGCCAGTTTTAATCAGCTGTGTGACATAAGATATTTTTACTTTATGTAAATTTCTTTACCTCTTTATGC